AGCCCCAGCCCCAGCCCCAGCCCCAGCCCCAGCCCCAGCCCCAGCCCGCTGCTGTTTAGAAAAAGTCAGAAGCAGTGACAGGGGAGGTGCCATTGTGCTTCTGTTCCAGGTGCTAAACCGGCTCCTGGCATCTGCTTTGAGAGAGTCAACTCTGCAGGAGATCCTTATGGCAACTGTGGCAAAGACTCTAAGAGCGCCTTCGTCAAATGTGAACTGAGGTACAAGGCCATACCCCCTGCCACAACAGCACTGAGCCTGTTCACATGGCGGTCACTGCTCCACACCGCCCTTCTTCTGAGCTTGTCTCTTCTTACCCTTCCAGAGATGCCAAATGTGGAAAAATCCAGTGTCAAGGTGGTGCCAGCCGACCTGTCATTGGTACCAATGCTGTTTCCATAGAAACAAATATCCCACAGCAGGAAGGAGGTCGGATTCTGTGCCGGGGAACGCATGTGTACTTGGGTGATGACATGCCAGACCCAGGGCTTGTGCTTGCAGGAACAAAGTGTGCAGAAGGAAAAGTAAGTCCCCCAGTTCTCACTTGTATTATAATGTAAGTCTGGAACACAGCCCACTGGAAGAACCTGCTTAGGATGAGGTCAGCTGATCTTCTTAAAACTACTTGGAATTTGGTCTCTGGGATCCAATTCTTTGTACCTAGAAGAAAAACTCAGTGAAGCTGAGGTCCCAGTCTGACCATTGAGACGCAGACATGGGGACAGTGTTGTTTTTACCCTGGGATTCAGGAAGACTGTCTGCCAGGAAGTAACTTCCTAAAGAAACACAACTGTGGAGCTTCTTGCTTTGGGGATGTGCCAGAGCTCTTGGGAGCTTGTTCTCACCTGGTCAAAGTGGGAAGTCAGATGTCTCTTCAGAGACTCTATAAAGAAAAGAGGAACAGAGGAGGGGATGGTATCAGTGGAGAGACAGGGGAATCCTTTGGGAGAACAGAGAAGAGGAAGGCTGAGATGGTTTGAGAGTTAAAAGCAAGTTCAAACATTTTAAAGGAAGAAACTAGGGTTTTTTTGTTCTACCACACTGGTTTATATATGTGCATGTGTACAGGTGTGTGTGGGGGGGTGCATGGATATGTGTACCCTTGTGTATAGATTCTGGGTGTGTGCATAAGCATATGCATGTGGCGTGTGTGTGTGTGTGTGTGTGTGTGTGTGTGTGTGTGCATGTGTGTGCATGTTTGTGTGGTGTGTGTGTGTGTGTATTCTCATGAGTCCCATGGACAATATTAAGTTCATTCCTTTAAGCATTTCTTTCTTTCTCTTTTCTCCTTCCTTTCGTTTCCCCCCTCCCCACTTTGAGATGGAGTCCAGCTCTCCTGTCTGCACAGTTCATACTCCACAGACCGGGCTCCCACTCCAGTCTCTGTTTTGCTTTTGTTTGTCTTTTCATCAAATTTTCCATCAGATTAAATGATAGCAAATTAATTCAATGTTTCAAGGGAAAAATGATAAACCATCTGGCATTTTTAGGGCTCATTTTTTCCCAGGATCGTGAAGTCCCTCTCAGAGGTCATGGTGAAGAAAGGACAGAACCCAAGGTTTTCCTCGAAAAACCCTGGAGGCTGAAGTGCCCTCTACACATGTCTCCCATGTGTCCTGAGCCACAGACACTCCTTCTTCTTTTTTAGAATTATTTTTTTATATGTATGAATGTTTGGCTTACATGTATGTCTGAATACCACATATATGCCTGGTGCCCGTGGAGGCCAGAAAAAGACATTAGATCCCCAGGACTGGAGTTTTAGATAGTTATAAACCACCATATGGATGCTGGGAATCAAATGAGTCCTCTGGAAGAACAGCCAGTGCTCTTAAATGCTGAGCCACCATCTCTCCTACCCTAGACACTTTGTTTGAGGAAGATTCCACATTCTTCCAGTTCCCCCAGGCACATTAGCGTCTGTTCAGGCCTTGACATTCTAACACCAGTCTTGTAAACTATGGTCCGAGAAGCCAGGGCTGCTGTAGCTGGAATCCCAAGAATGCTGCTGCTTATGCAGGTGTCTTTGACCTTGCCAATAGGATCAAGACTACACAGGGCCCTCCCAGCAGAATCCATCAATGTGCATGTCCTCCTTGAAGCTTTGTTTTCCTTGCATGTGTATGGATGTATGTTCTTGTGTGTGAGGATACAAGTGTGTGCACATGCACATGTTGTCCAAAGGCCTTGGGTATGGTTCCTCCTGAGCTGTCCACTTTTTTTTTCTTTTTTTTTTTTCTTTTGGCGACACTCTCTCACCTGCCTGGAACTTGCCCAAGTAGGCCAGAGTGGCTGGACAGTAAGGCCCCAATGGAACTTCCTGTTTGCACTTCCCCAGCTGTAGGATCACAAACACACACCTTTCTACTTCACTGCTTATGTGGATTCTGGGGCTCTATCTCAGGCCCTCCTGATTGCATGGCAAGCACTGAACTGACAGGATCATCTCCCAGCCCCTGGGGTTTCCTTATCAGCAAACAGGCACCAGTCTCCAGCTTCCGGACCCCCGCCCCTATTGCTTTCTCTGAAGCGCACTTACTCTGCCAACTGTTGGTGAGATGGCCACCTGCCCACAGGAAGGCTATACTTGATGAAACCACTCTGTATCCTAAACCGTGAACTCTTCTTCCTTTCTCTCCACTAACCTGTAGCATTGTAGGAGAGAAAGATGCTGAGCACTGCCTAAGAGGCAGGCAGCCATTTCCAACTGGCCAAGGCCTCTGTAATGCCTGGATAAGCAGGACCCTGGGGAGCGTTCCTGTCAATGCTTTGTGACACCAGTGACCCAAAGCCCTGAATAAAACACGTGAAAAAACCAGTTATAATTTCTCACTCCACTAGAACTATCTTATGTGGCATTAAATGTAAAAGGGCCCGATACTGTTCACATTGGACAGAGTGTCGAGTCAGACCCCAGAAGCTGTGTTAGCTAGCAATAGACCTTATCCTGCTCCATCCCTGCTCACTAAAATGAGAGCCTTCTCTCAGTGTTCCTTGCTTTCTCTCTCATATCTATGTGTGGAGTGTATACAAGGATGTGTACATGTTTGTGACCTGTGAAAAACAGAGGTCAACCTCTGGTCTCCTTTGGTGACAGCCACCTTGTTTTCTAAGACAGGCTCTTTCACTGGAACCGGTTCACCTACAAAGTCAGGATGGCTGGCCAGCAAGCTCCAGAGCTCCCCTCTCCATAAGCTCCACAAACACCCACCACCACACTTGGATTTTTATTTTGGGTTTGGAGTTTTGTTTGGTTGAGTTTTTTGTTTGTTTGTTTGTTTGTTTGTTTGTTTTTAACATGGGCTCTGGGTCCTTAGGTTTGCACATCAAATATTTTACCAACTGAGCCGTCTCTCAAGCCTCCTGCTTTCTCTTTTTCATGTGCCTGTGTGAGGGAGGGGAACAGAGGTACTGAGCCTGTGCTGTGTGTCTCTCACAGATCTGCCTCAATCGTCGATGTCAGAATATCAGTGTCTTTGGTGTTCACAAGTGTGCAATGCAGTGCCATGGCCGAGGGGTGAGTAGATCAGTTTCTTCTTCTCAGCCTGCCCACAGCCAGCTAAGAGTTTTTTTAAATTTTCTGATGTATTTATTTTATTTGCTTGAATATTTTGCCTACATGTATGTATGTGTGTGCCTGGTGCCCACAGAGGCCAGAGAAAGGATCAGATTCCCTGGAACTAGAATTAGGGATGACTGTGAGCTACCATGTAGATGCTAGGAACCAAACCCAGGACTTCGACAAGAGCATCAAGTGCTCTTAACCACTGAGCCATCTCTCCAGCCCCTGCTAGCCAGACTTTCTTAAAACTACAGTAGTCAGTGAATGCCTTCTCAACGTTCTTTTCCGGAGACATTAACTGTCTCTGACCTTTACATAGCAGGAGAAATGTCACTTTCATTTAACAAAGAAAATCAGATTGAGAGGTAATTATCTTTTGAATTAACATTCTGCAATATAAAGAATTTTGTCATCTTCAAAGTAATTTCGGAGCTAACCTTGCCTCACAAAGGGCTCACATTAGCATTTCAAGCAGGGTTGTCCCTCTGGCTCCCAACAGCCCAAACTTGGCTCCACCGAGAAACTTACAAGAAGGATAAAAATGAAGACATCACATCTACCAACCGCATGTTCTTGAATGCCCTTGCCATGAGTTTTGACTACCACATGCTGCCAAGTTCAGAGAAGCTTTAGGGAAGAAAAGGACTCTAATTGTTCAAAACGTAATTTCTTTTTCCCGACGCAGTTAATTTTTTTTCCAATGGGATGGTATTAATCTTGATTAGTGGCACAAGCGGCTCATTTGTCCTCCGGAAGCCTTTTCTATGGAAACTGTGCTCTAAATTGTCTTTTTAGAATATCTAGACACTTGGGATTATGGGGGACTTTGTAAAATCACCACCATGCTGTAACCACGATAGATTGCCAAACTGCCTCAGACAGGCATGTTGATGTTGTGTACAGCTGACTCAGTATCAAATGGATTCTCATCACGTCTCCATTGAATTAGAGATTTCTTTCTAATGGCGATAGGGGAACTAGCCTGGTCCTTTTGTTTTTACTGATGAGGCCAAGGCCAATGTGGTAGTGAGGGTGTGTCCACAGTGACCTTGCTGGCCTCAAGAAAGTAGAACAGAGGCCCCTCTCTCTGATATTTATAGGTCTCTTGTACAGGTTGCCAAACTCTAAGGACCATATTTTCCAAAACAGCCAGCTATGATTTAGTGTAATAGTTAATCTCAATTGTCAGCTTTCTGAGATCTAGAGTCTCCTGGAAAATGAGCCTCTGGGAATGCCTGTGGAAGATTATCTTGACTAGGTTACTTGAGGTTGAAAGACCTGCCCAGTGTGGGTGGCATCATTCCCTGGGCTGGAATCCTGAACTGTATAAAAAGGAAAAAGTGAGCTGAGCACAGCATTCATGGCTCCCAAACTCTTGATATGAATGTGAAGTGACTGCCTGCTTCAAACTACTATCACTGTGATTCCACACTGTGATGGACTTGGAACGGTGAGCCAAAATAAATCCTTTCTCCTTTAAATTTTGTTGGTTTTTTTTTTTTTCAGAGTAATTTATTACAACATCAGAAAAGAAGCTAAGACATTTTAGTAACAAGTAGCTTGGCCCCAATCCCTCTATGATGAGACCAATCTCACCACCAGTACTTCCAAATTTCCTGCCCCAAGCTGAGACCAAACCAGGCAGGGTATGAGTCTCATGGATGGTTTGACACATATGCAGGGTGTACCACAGACACTAGAAAGCTGTCTGTCCAACTTGCTCTTGAGCAGCCCACATCATTGTGGAAACACCATCCCTGCCACATGAGCCTTGGCCTCATCATTAAAACCAAAGAACTGAGTTAGTCCATCCCTTAAAACCATTAGAAAGAACTCTGTCACCCAGTGATCTCAGATGCTCTGTAAAAGACAGAGTCCTGACCAATGGGAATGTCCTAGAAAGCGCATCCCTCCTTCTCACAGGCTTTGTTGACTGCTGCCCTCCACAGATGAAGCAACTGGACAAGTGATTGGATGCTTCACAGAAGCCAGTTAGATCAAGGAGCCACCACAAGCAAGACAACAGACTGTCAATGTCTTGTTTGCCTCCCAATATTTAGGCATATATTTGGCCTCAGTGTTTTTATGCAGTGCCCTAGAATTGGTTCACTAGTTCCACTGACTTTCATATAACAAACCACCCAGAAATTCATTACCTGTGATTTACACTGTTTAAGTGGAAGGGAGGTATACATACCAGACTGCCATCTGGAATCACAGTCCTTGATGTGGGAAGCTCTCTCCAGTCATCTCTACCACTGTCCTGTCCCTCCACCCACCGCAATTTGTCAGATGGGCCTTTATCTAAGGTCCCCAAAGCTCAATCTACTTCTCACAAAACAAAACATATACGCACACTCCTGTGGCTGTGGATGTAGCTCTGTTGGTATTCACCTAGCATGTACAAAGCCCCAAGTGTGACCCCAAGTACCTCATAAAGTAGGTGTGAGACATACCTATAATCTCTCAGCACTCAGAAAGTGGACGCAGGAGAATTAAATATTCAAGGTCATTCTTGCACACATAGCTAGTTCAGGGCCAATCTTAGATACGTTAGACCTTGTCTCAAAAAAAGATAAAAATAAAGAACAGTGTGTGTGTGTGTGTGTGTGTGTATGTTTGTGTGTATATATACTATATATACATTATATATACATATATAATTTATGTATACTTATATATATAATATATGTATATGAATATATATTAAACTATAAAATTAAAAAACTTTAAAAGTGGTTTTCACACTCAAAATCAATTGGTTCATATCCTGTTTGGTGAGTTACATACATATCAATAGTGAATCCAAGCAGAAGAACCACATGGGAGACCCTTGTCAAACAGACTCCTGGGTCCTTCCATGGGAACTCTGGTCTCCCATTAGGGTGCATTATCTAGGAATAGCAAGGGCAAAGGCATGCTCTCCTGCCATCTACTTCAGAAGAAAGAATTCTGTCTTTGCCTATTATGTGTTGTGACTAGGAGGCAGATAATAGCCACAGTGGGCTAAAAGAGTAAGCATTTGGGGATAGGAGTAGGCTCACAGATATATTAGCAGACCCCTGTGAACTTCTATGGATATCAGAAAATCAGAGGCCCAGCAATAGACCTACTTCCCTCCCTGAACCTCCTGTCTGAAATAGACAGATCTGTGCCACAGTGGTCTGATTCTGGGTCTTTCCTTACCACAAAGAAGGCAACTCCACAGCTTTCAGGGTTGAAAAAAAAATGAGACCAGGAAAGGGAGCTGGCTCCCAACAGCAGCTCCCCACCACAGGCAGGTTGTGCCGCTCTCAGCTCTTCAGGTTCTACCCAACTCACTGGTGGTGCTGTTTGGAGCTGATTCTCGACGTCTTGCTTGCATTTACTGAGTCTATGTGTGTTGCTGAAGGGATCTAGCAGAATACCCTTGCTTTTGTGTGTCCTAACCCTGTCCACTCTGGATGTTTTTCTCCACTTCTGCCCGAAAGGTATGTAACAACAGGAAGAATTGCCACTGTGAAGCCCACTGGGCTCCTCCGTTCTGTGATAAGTTTGGCTTTGGAGGAAGCACAGACAGTGGTCCCATTCGACAGCCAGGTAAGTGTGGCCTCAGGATCCCAGGAATTGGATGCTGGGCTGCTGGGAGCTGTGTCTACTGGACAGGCTTCCCCACAATGGGACCCTGAGTGCCTCTGTCCCAGCCCGAAGCTTGCAGGTTCTAAATGTTATTGTCCTCCCCAGACTTCCCTTCCTTTTGGTCCTTGGTCCTGTTCAATGCAGCTGAGGTGTTGAGTTGGCCATTTTTTCTCCCTGTGACACTTTTCTCCATGGTGAACTGCCAAATGTGTATGTCACTGTCATTTCAAAGTACTTTGCAAAGAGTAGCTCTTGTGTGCTGCCACTTCAGTGCATTTTAAAACTCTGATCAGAGGAGTAATAGACAGCATAGGGGTGGGGAAGGGAACAAGCAAGAACAGCAAAGGTATGACAGCTACCTCTTAATAAAGAAGATGGATACCACCACTGGGCTAAGGGTGGTAACTTCAATACAGTGCTTGCACTTGAGTGTGGGTCCACAGAACCCACACAAGGAGTTAAGCATGGTGGTGTATGCTTGTAATCCTAGAACTAGGGAAGAAGAGAGAAGAAGATCCCCAGGGCTTGCTGGCTAACCAGTCTAGCCAAATAGGGGAACTCTACGTTCATTAAGAGACCCTGTCTCCAAAATAAGGTGGAAGATAGCTGATGTCAGCCTCTTGCTTCCACATGCACCCACACATGTAGACACACATCACACAGGAGAGAGAGAGAGTGGTCAGAGCAGTTGTCACATTCATGGTAGCTGTTTGCATTGAGCAGTTGGTTATGGGCAGATAGGATGCTAATTAGTGTACACTTTGCTGTCTGTTCTTTACATGGTTTTAAAAACAGACATTTTTAAAAATTGAAATATAATTACATTATTTCCCTCCTTTCTTTTCTTTCCTTCAACCTTTCCCAGGGACACCTGACCCCACTCATTCTCAAATCATCTCCATTAAAAAAATGTTAGTTGCATGCGTACACACACACATACACACACACACACACACACACACACAGAGAGAGAGAGAGAGAGAGAGAGAGAGAGAGAGAGAGAGAGAGAGAGAGAGAGAGAGAGAAATATGCTAAATCTGTTTATGTTGCTTACATGTATATGATTTCGGGGCTATCCACGTGGTATTGGATATCCAATTAAGGGGCTCATTCCTGGGGAGGACTGACTCCCACTGCCAGCATTCTTTAGTTGCTTGTAGTTCTTTGTCTAGGGATGGGGTCCTGTGGAGCGCCACCATTTCACATTAGCATGTGGATTTGTATCATCTGGGTCTTGGCCTCACCGTTCCACACTCTGATGGTGTTCACCTGACCATGGCTCGGCCACTCAGTCAGCAAAACCCATGCATATCTGTCCACTTGTGATTCTAGAGAGGAATTAAGGAGAGTCTCCAGGGCACGAAGGTGCCACCATAGGGGAAGAGAGGGTACTCTGGGAGGAGAGCAGCCCTGCATGCTTAGGCACAGTATGGAAATGTCAGAGGGCTCCCCAGGACCTTGATGTGCTTTGTTGCTATCTTCAGGAAGGACTAGGGCTGGAGCTCAGCAAACAAGGTGCTTTCCTAGTGTCTCATTGCTGTGAAGAGATACCATGACCACAGCAGCTTTTATAAAGGGCAACATTTAATTGGGGCTGGCTTACAGTTTCAGAGTTTTAGTCCATTGTGGTCACGGCAGGAAGCATGGTGGCTTGTAAGCAGACATGGTGCTGGAGAAGGAGATGAGAGTTCTACATCTTGATCTGCAGGCAGCAGCAGGAGACTGAGCTGCACAGGGCATAGGTTGAGCATATGAGACCTCAAAGCCTGCCACCACAGTGACACACTTCCTCCCACAAGGCCATACCTATTCCAACAAAGCCACACCTCCTAATAGTACCATTCCCTGTGAGGGCAAGCATTCAAACACATGAGTCAGTGGGGGAATTTCTACTCAAACCACCACACCTAGGATGCATGAAGCCCTAGATTTAATCTCCAGTACGACATGGAGCAGGGTAATATGCCTTTCATCCTAGCAGTGGAGAAGTGGAGGCAGGAGGATCAGTTCAAGCCATCCCTAGGCTACATGCAAATTTCAGGCCACCCTGGACTCTATGAGACTCTGTCTCAGAACAGAAAGCTTTACAAAGTAGAGACACTCCAAGCACAGACAACTGGCTATACCAAGGCCTGGAGTCAAGATAGAAAGGACAGGATGACAGTCACTGAGAGTGGTAGCTCCCAGGTTACAGATTGGGCAGTAGAGTCCTGATGCTGTTTAGAATAGCTCAAGTAGTTGGCACTGTCCTCATGGCAACAAGCAATCCTGAGGTAAGGTGTCCAAGTGCCATTTAAGACCTGGAAGGGCTTTGATTGTATATACAGATCAGTTTAAGACTTACAGGTTAAAGTAAGAAAGTAAAAGATGTTCTTAAATTTGTTATGAGGCAGAAGAACTCTACCTGAAACCCCAGGATGCTACTAAGAGCCTGAAAGGAATTGTGTTTGACCAGGAGACCAGCTATAATGCTCTTCCAGTCATGTGGATGGCTTTATAGGGAGCCTCCAATCCTAATAACATGGCCCGGTACCTTGTGTGGTTCAATAGTTCACTCTGCTATGGTTGTGCCTAGGGGAATCTGTGTGGTCCAGATGCCAGGGTCCTACCTACCAGACCATGTCTCTGTATTAACAAGTTCCGAAGTCATCACAGGCGAATAATGGTGGCATAGACCAGAGCTCAAATATGACCTTTGAAGAGAGACTAATTTATTAGGATATCGTTCAGGGATTTACGTGCTCTGGTTCTGTTTGTTCCTGTAGAGCTTGCTCTGCCATAAATGTCACGGCTCAATGTCTCCCGTATTTTATTGGAACGGCCTCCTCCCCTGAGCCAAATGTGTTTTGTTTCAGATAACCAGGGCTTGACTGTAGGAATCCTGGTGAGTGTCCTGTGTCTGCTTGCCGCTGGATTTGTGGTATATCTCAAAAGGAAGACATTGATGCGGCTGCTGTTCACGCATAAGAAAACCACCATGGAAAAGCTAAGGTATGTCAACTCTTCAAAAACCAACGGCTGAAAGAATATTCAACAAACTATCTCTCACTGTGTCAGCTGCACCATCCTCAGCAAAGGACAGGGCAGATTTTCTGGAGAGTAACACTGGGTTTCTTTTGTTTGTTTTTGTTTTTGTAAATGTCTGCCAGGCCAGCTGTCTCTTTGACTCTCTCTTCTAGCTATGTGCTGTCCATCACATAAATAAGCCATGTGTTGGTGAATTCCACAAATGGGTCTTCTCTAATCTTTGCATTAGTATTTTTTACAAGGCCTGTGGACACTGGAATGTGTTCCTCAGATGGCACAGCTTTAGGCCCAAATGTGCTCAGAGATGCAATCGCTGACATGCCAGCTTCATGCAAAACATCTCCTGTGTGCCCAAAGCTGTTTCCGTGGTTTTCAGTTAACTAAACTGACAGAACAGTGGCTGGAGAGCAGGAATCCATGTTCATTTTTCATCTCATAGGCATGTGAGATCATTTTTCCCCCTGAGGATTTGTCCCATGGAATTAAAATAAGTGACAGTCTAAGTATCAGCAGGAACAGGATGGGAGAAGTTAGTACAAAGAGGAGGGCAAGCCTTTGCTCAGCAGTTGTTGGGTTGCCTTGCAGGTGTGTGCACCCTTCCCGGACACCCAGTGGCCCTCACCTTGGCCAAGCTCATCACACTCTCGGAAAAGGCCTGCTGATGAGCCGGTCACCACATTGCAACACCCCCAAGGTAGGTCGCACAAGAACTTAGTATGCTGGGAAGGCGTGAGGTTGCATGGGAAGACAGGGCTCCATCATCTCTGTGAAATGCTTAGTTGGCACCTTTGGTTCAACTATAACCCCATTACCCTGCAATAGTCAGTGCCTAGAGGTACGTCCTAGAGTAATCCTCAGGGTCCCTAAAAGATTCTGATAAGGCAGTCAGTGTCCACACACAGTGGGGTATGTGGATATTATAAACCACGATCAATCTCTGCAGTGACCTAGAGCTAGTTCTCAGCAGCCCCACTGGGAACACAGCCAGAGCAAACTCTTTGTTACAAGGCCCTGCCTATCATTTCCAGGGCCACCAGCTATGTCTAGGTGAGCTTTCTGGCCTGTGTCTCACTGAGCCTCAGTTCTGCCCAGAACTGTGGAAGCCATGCCCACTCTATTCTTTTAAAGAACTATATCCTTATCCTTAGCTAGTCCATGGTTCCTCAGGGTCTCAATGTTTTACTTAGGCGTAGAAGTCTTAAATATTGAACCCTATTATAGTACATGCCTATAATCTCAGTACATGAGGAGCATATTTAGTTCAAAATACAAAAACACCGATGTAAATCAAAAAGTTGGTTAAAGAATAAGAACACTTGGCTGGGTGGTAGTGATGCACGCCTTTAATCCCACCACTCAGGAGGCAGAGGGAGGTGGATCTCTGAGTTCAAATCTAGCCTGCTCTATAGAGTGAATTCCAGGGCAGCCAGGGCTACACAGAGAAACCCTGTCTTGGAAAACAAAACAAACAAACAAATAAAAAGAATACAATCATTTAATTATGCAACATTAAATACTGGGAACAATCATACCTCGATAAAGATATTTATAAAAAAAAAAAAAAAAGAGTGTGAAATACTAGATCAGCTGCACCGGTTCTGTTCCTCCTCCAAACACAAGGAGGTTTGTCCGGAGATGAGCACCTTGCCTCTGGAGCAGGTAGTTCTCACAGAACCCTTGTGCACACTAAGCTCACACCTTGCGTGCAGTCCAGCCTGTGTCTTCATACTTGGTACTTCAAGTTTCTTTTATCTATTTGTTAATTAAACCAGCCTAGTGATGGATTGATTGAGGCGGAATCTTCTCTATAGCAAACACTAGCTTCCAATTCTCAGTTCTCCTGCCTCAGCCTTCCAAATGCCAGTGTCACCATTGTGGTTTTCAATGTTTGTTTTTTTTTTAATCTATATAAAAACTTCTCTCTCTATTCCAGATTTATGGGGTGCTTCCTGTAGAATTTTCAACTATAAATAAGTAAATACAGTCCGTTGTATGGGCATCCTGGAAGTTCCATTCCCACATAGACAGTGGTCACAGGCCAGTTAGCGCTGCTCTTCCCTTAGCTAGTAAAATCCACCAGAGCTGACTCTGCTTTGACCACGCAGGACAGGCACTCACTGAAATGCCAGAACATTGACATCAGCAGGCCCCTCAGCGCTCGAGCCGTCCCTCAGCCTCAGTCACCTCAGCGAGTGTTCCTGCCTCTCCACCAGGCACCACGTGCACCCAGTGGCCCTGCCAGGCCCCTGCCCGCCAATCCTGCAGTCAGGCAGGCCCAGGTATGCCTCTCATGCTGACTAGGTGGGATCCAAGCTCTACTACTTGCTAACATGTAAACTTGGGCAAATTGTTTAGCATAGTGACTGTATGAAATGGAGGTCAGTTAATCAGATGGTTGACTAAGATAACCCACATACAGTGCCTATAGTATAGCAATCATAAGACACTTTAATATTTTGTAATTAGTAATTATTTTAAATATTCAGAGTTGTTTGCATGTCAGTATAATGTATCATCTAAATCAGAACTTAAAACTTTTCTACTGTGAGCATTTTTTACCTGAGGAATTTTTATAGGACTCTAGGTAGATAGATTAAAAAAAATTTATAGGAAAATATTAAAAGTCTTTGTTTCTGTGTGAGCAGAAAACATAACAGTATTAAATCTGAGCTGGGGCGTTCAGGGCAGTGTTTTTGTCAGTGGTACATGGTGTGACAGTTTGTGTTGTGTGTTCAGAACCAAGGCTGCGGTGACACGGGATGTGACATAGGCAAGCACTACCAGAACGCACCGATACAGTACACATTCGGCTTTGAAACAGCTTTAGGTTGCTGCACGTTGAGCTAAAGGCCCACAGCTGAAGAAGCTGAGATTTCAACCATAACATTTTGAGAATGGCAATGGGTACTGCTGACAACTTGAATAATGAAACAAAATCATTTTTAAATGCTATTGTTATATTTTCCCATTACTGTTTCTATATATTTATAATTACATCTTTAACATAGAGGTTATTCTCTGTGCATGTAGCTTTACTGCTTGTTTCTGTCTTAAAGTTGTTTCTCCATCCATTTTCATTACAGAGCCTATAAAATGTTCTTTCAATAGCAACATGCTGCTTGGGTGTGGAATTACCTGGGAGAGAGTGAATACATTGAGAGATACGGGTTTTGTTTTATAAATAGTTGTTTAGAAGAGCTAGACTGATACATTTTGGAGTTCTTTATTCCTTTAGGAAAGATTCAAGTGAAATATAAGATTGGAAAACACACAAATCTTTAAATGGTTGGATAAAGTTAAATGTTTGGTTAGAGTATTGCATGTATTTAGGCTCTCCCATTGACACTAGCAAGGTCATGATGACAAAGATAGAGGTTGACATTTCAAAGCTTTGCTTATTTGATAGATAAAACATAATGCCTCCATTTTCTGTCTAATAGTTAAATCAGTTCCTGATAAATGTGCCTGAGCCCATCAGTTTTTGTTTTGATTTAATATTTTGTTAGTTCGTTTATATACAGTGTTTTTTCCTCTGTGTTTTGAGATTTGGGGCTAAATGTTATATGAGAGTTCCTTTTGCTTTTGTGAGAAGCTAAGCAGCACTGACCCCTGTCAACTGATAATAATGCTTCTAGTCATGTTTCCTGTCTCCTGAGGATAGTATACTAACTGTCTCCTGAGGGTCAAATTTTGCCTCTAGGAGAAAAAACACCTCTCTGGAAATCAATCCATGATCATCATAGCTTGGTACCAGAATTTTATTGCTTCAGGAAAATGTGGAAACCTGATTCCACATTGCCCTCATGTTTAAATAATGGATGTCTTAAAATCATGGCCTTTGGAGCTAGAAAAAAATGACTCAGAGTTTAAGAATACTTACAGCTTTTACAGAAGACCTGGTTCAATTTCCAGAACCCACATGACTTCTGCAGGCTTGCATGTGGTGCACATATATTTGGACACATGTATACACATATTTTAAGTGGCCTTTATGGGTATCAAGAGCCACTTTGCATGGAACTTTTACTTTCAGCCAAACAGACTTTTTCAAGCCAATGAGGATTTGATTATACATGCTCATATATCGATCCCTTCAGCTCTTCCCCTCTCCTAATCTCCCACATCTCATACTTTCCTTCCTGCCTTTGAAACAAGCCTGTTGTTGGGATGGTATAATCCCCTTGTCTAAAAATGTCTTTCTTCATGAAGGATATTTTGGCTGGGTATAGAATTTTAGGTTGACATTTTTCGGGAAGTGTTCTTCCCCTTCTGTCTGGACTGTACCGTGATAAGAAATCCACCAATTTATTTCCACAGCCTCTGCTCCAGGAAAGTAATGTAACCACTTATTTTAGGGAGGGCGTGGTTTTCTCTGTGGTTAAGCTGGAATAAGATCATATATGGTCAAAATATTTGTTTACTGAACAACCCTCTTCCTAGGCTTGTGACTACAGAGAAGTGGCTTTCTTGAGTTTGTTTTTATTTCTTTGGTGCCATTTAGTTATTTCCAGATTGTGTGTATTTACATATTTCACTTTCTGGTTGCTTCTTTTATACTTCCTGGACAGGGCTTTGGCATGCACCCATGTACACACAGAAGGACCCACCAGTGAGTAGTTCCTTGAATCTAGAGTCTACCAGGTAGTCTTTATTTCTCTAATTTTCAGTTTTCTATCAGTTATTTAGTGATATTTTTTGTTGCAAGTACAAAGGAATAAGGTAAGCCATGCTTATTCCATCTTGTTAGTCACAACCTCATTTTCTTTCATAATTATTTTATTGATGATAACATTCAAACTACTTCATATCTAGCAGCTCTTACTAGGAAAAAAAAAGGCTTGACTTTCAGCAGGTTTCTTTGATCTAAAAACTTGTATCACAGCCAGTTTCAGGCTATAAACAGGTTACTGCACAGGGAGTCCAGAACTGGCCATCCTGAGCTCATGTTGGCAAGCACCATGGCCCTGCTTCAGGAGTGTTGTGTTCTGTGAATTATCTCGTGCTGTCTCTGACTGGTTTTCTTTTTTTTTTTTTTAAATATAACAGCAAGGTAGTCTTCTTTGCTCATATAGTAGAGTCTTCTTTTTAAAGAAATTTCTGTTCTTTATTATAATTCTGATTTCTGGCATATCAGGAACTCTGGTTTTGAATATTACATCAATGTATCTTTCCTTTTGTGAAACTCTCTTTTCCTGAATGCTTACAACTATCTCTCCCACTCACTACCAGTTAGGAACCTTGTATTATCTCTTCAGTTGGTTTTGTGGACTGCTGATAGGCCAGAAAGACAAATGGAAGAGAAACCTATCTTGGTTTACCTTGCTGTAGGGCAACAGGCACATTCTAAACATGTCTAGGTTGTGGGCTTGCTTGAGAATACAACAGGAGCTGTAAGCCCAGGATATGAACCATCATTCAGTGCCTTACATACACATTTCCAGTATTCTCACAGAGAATCTGTAAAAAACAAGGATAATCTTTACACAGTGCACAAAAAGATTATCCCTACAGGAACCCAGTGAATCCACACATCCTGAGGCTTCTTAGTCCTCTCTTTCAGCAGTGCCACCTCTGCACAGTGCCAAACTGGGACTAAGAGACCGCATAACCCAAGAGCAGTTGTGAACAATGGTTTTCTCCCACAGTTGTCAGTAACCCACAGAAGTGGCTCCTTCAAAGCAGCCACCCAAAAGCCTTCTGTTTTGTGAAACTAAGAGAGTCTCCCCTTTAAGCACCAATCACAAGAAACTCCACATCCTCACTCCGAGCTGTGTCTGTCTGGAGCCCTTCAGAGACAAGTGACACCACTAGCTGCATAAGTTCCCTGTCATCAAACATAGAGACCTGGAATCCATACCATGTAGGTGTGAACAGTATCTAGAGCTGACTCTTGCTTGGCAGCAAGAATTGAATCCACTGACACTTTACAGTTCCCTGGGTACCAGCCCATACGACATGACACAGATGTGCCTCCATGGCCAATCCTGCTATGCTTGTCCAAATTTATCACACTCCAGGGATGGGGAACATTGGCTAACTTTATATTTAAAGAATGAGTGTCATCTTTCTAGAAAACATTTCATCCCCCATAAACTCAACTCATTCTTGCCCAAATGTGCCTCTTGGAACGTGGGCTTTTCATCTTATGGTCAGTCCTTGTATTGTACCTGCTTGTATCTGCTTCACATACTATGTGCACATCCTGTGTGCACATGTATGACGATCAAAGAACAACCTTCAGAGGTTAGTTCTCTTCCTACCTTGCTGAGACAGGGCCTGTGGTTTGTGACAGTAGGGTGAGTCTCTGTCTCCATTGTAGAGGAATGCCATGATTATAGATGTGTCTAGATGTGTCAGGAGCCATTTCCCTGGGCTTACAGTGTGCCCATTGTTACTGCTGGAGGAAGGAGAGCAGAACAAGGTTCATGGCTGGAAGGATTCTTAGGCTCCAGGACAGCCCAGATAAAATCCATCATTCAGTAGATTCTCACTTATTGGGAATTAATTGAGTTACTTACAGTTTAAACAAAAACATGCTACATGTCCCAGTAAAGAAATACATTTTTCAGCTCACAGAAAACTGCGTCTCAAGAAGACACAGCTAAGACATGGCAGATCTACATGAGATCTTTCACTGTCAGACTTGATGTGCTCAGGTCCTAAACAGATTTGAGTGTTGCCTTCAGTTCATCAGTGGCCATTCTCCTAACAAGCAGCGCCTTGTCTGTGTGCCACTGGCCCAGCTTTACCCATTTGGTTTGCTAAACATCTGTCTCACAAATTGGCATGTGAATGATGCCTGCTGATGCATGGGCACACTTGATCTAAGGATCCATTTTTCTTTAAACACCTCAGTTTCCTGGGAAATACTAGGAAGTAATATCTCAGCGAGTTACAGAGCTGAACTAAGAGCTGAGATCATGTTCCCCATTGCATTAGAAAAACAGAGACTTTTAAAAATTGAACCCATCACTTGGGAAGACTAATTGTTAAGGTATTGTGGTCCTTTCTTGAAAATATTGCTAGGTCCAAAAGAATTATCAGTCCTGGTTTGTGCACCATGTATCTACACTGTGGAAATTTCAGCCAAACAGCAATGGAAGAAGAATTCACTTCCACTGTTACATTTAGTGTGTGTGTGTGTGTGTGTGTGTGTGTGTGTGTGTGTGTGTGTGTACTCAAGTGGGTATATGTTTTAGTACAAGGAACCTGTGTTGTGCTTTTAATGACTATAAAATCATTCAAATATACACTGAGCACTGAGTACATGACAGGTACT